TGTGTGTGTGTGTGTGTGTGTGTGTGTGTGTGTGTGTGTGTGTGTGTGTGTGTTTAGAGACAGGGTCTCCCTGTGTAGATCAGGCTGGTCTTGAACTCTCTGCAGAACCCAGGCTGGCCTCAAACTCAGCAATCATCCTGCCTCAGTGCCCCCCATGTTGGGATTATAGGTGTGTGCCACCGGGCTCACTGGACTCCTGTATTTTCTTAGCTAGGTTAGAAAATAAAATATGCTTATGTTTGCCAGGCCCCAACAAAGCTTTTTCTCCCTTGCCTTCTTTTCTTCTCCCTGTCTGACCTTTGATGTGGGCAGAATTAGGGACTTCCTAAGAAAACCCGGAATCCTGGGCTTGGGATTCAGCTCAGTGGTTCCACTGCCTGCCTTTAGAGCACAAGGGCTGGGGTTCAATCCCTGGAACCACCAAAGAAAGAAAGAAAGAAACCCTGAAGCTTGTTCCTGAGTCTCCAATGCTTCAACGTGCCCCGTTGGTGATACAGGGACGGGGGAGTACAGTGGAAAAGGTAGTAATTGAGCACCTACTAAGTGCCAGGTGCTTAACAGATATCATCTTCTTTAATCTTCAGAACAATCCAATTAAAGACTGGTGACTGGTGGTGTAGCCCAGAGGTAGAGACCTGATTAGTGTGGACAAGGCCCGAGTTCAATACACAGCGCATGTGCAAGTGAGACACACGCGCGTGCACGCAGGCACACACACGCGCACCTGCCAAAAAATTTAAGCGTCTCAGTTATTCTACTCATACTACTAAAGAAACTGGCTTAGCAAAGGGTAAAGCCTTTTACTCCAGCCTAAGCTTAAACACAGGGAGGTAGATTTTAATGTAGGCCTACCATCTCGCAAATTGAAATTCTTTATTTTATAACCATTTACACTCTGGGGAGCCCAGAATCTCAGGCAACATTCTGATCACCAGTTTTATGGAGTGACTGCCATTCATATGCAGTGAAAGGTGTCCTCTCCCTCCCTCTTCCGAAAGTAAGAGAGCCATATTTCTCAGAATGAAGAGCCAACTTTTGATTTGCAAAGGTCCTCCTTAGAATAATAAAGCAGATGGCCCAGCTCCTGCTGACTTGGGAGGGCAGAATCCTGGTTCTCCAGGGGGTACTCAAAGGAAAGGCTAACCGTTATAGTCTACAGTAGAGGTCAAAGTTTCAAGAGCAGTTGTGAAGGGAAGGGTGTTTATTTTAGAGGATAGAGAAAAGGAAAGTAAGGTCTAGAGGAAAATGGGTAAATTTGGCCTGAAATTGCAAAGTACTGATAATCCCCACTGATTTCAAAAGATCTGGGCTGGATGAAAATGAAACGAAAGCAAGCACCAGTGGAAAGGCTCCTAGGGCCTGTTAAAGACCCATGAGTAGAAGTAGAGCTCTAAACACATAACCCCAAACCAGGCAGGATGGTGTCTGCCTGTGTCCCTTCAGTCTAGGAGGTGGAAGAATTTCAAATTCAAGCCCAGCCTGGGCAATTTAGTGACCCTGTCTCAAAATAAAAATGGAAAAAAGGCCCAGGAATACAGATCTATTCAAAGGTCTTGGGTTCAATCTCTGGTACTTCAGAAACAAAAACAAAACAAATACATAATCTTACTGCTCTCTCTACCGCAGGAGAAAAGCTAGGCATGGAGGTGGGAAGTATCCTGGGGTGGAGGGGGGTCACCAAAGGAGATAAAACTAGACTGCTGGCCCTGGGCCGTCTCTGTGGCTGATGCTCTGCCAGGCTGCCTAGGCTGCCCTTCTCAAGGTTAGCCACCTGGAAAGGAATAAGTGATGTCCCGTGGAAAGCACTGAAGGAGAGGCCGGGCACCCGGGAGGCCTCAGGCAGTACTTGGTCAGAGAGGGACAGGGAGATGATGAGTAGGGGAAGTGACGAAGTTAGTGGGATGTGGGTAGGGAAAGGGACAGCAGTGCTCCAAGTACTTAAACACTAGCTATGAGACAAGCGTGGTGGCGCACGCCTCTAATCCCAGCACTTGGGAGACTGAGGCAGGAGGATTGCTATGAGATCCAGGCTAGCTTGGGCTACAAAGTGAGTTCAAAGCCAGCCTGGAACATATAGCAAGACCCTGTCTCAAACAAGACAAAAAGAAGAAAAAGAAATAGGTAACTATTATGTCTTATATCGAGATGTCCTCCCAAAGCCTCATGCAGTCACAGGTGGAGTTTTTCAGAGGTGGCTGGATCTACAGTGCGTGATATGGGATTAAGGATGTGATGCTGGGATTGATCCACAGTAGGATGCTAGGATTAAGTAAAGGTGCCCCGACCTGGCTGTGAGTACTGCCCACTAGAATATAAAGAACAGAGAGTGCTGCTGTTACTGTCCCTGCTCATCACTTACTGCTTCACTACTTCACAGCTTGCTGCCTTACTGCCTTCTGCCTGCCATGAACTGTCTCCCCTCTGCCACGTCACCCTGCCTTGGAGTCAGCCAACTATGAAATGAAACCTTGACAAACTGTGAGCTACAATAAACCTTTCCCCCTTTGAGTGTTGGGTATTTTGTCTCAGCAACAAAAGAAAAGTAACTAAGGCAGTAACCAAAACAAAACAATATTTCTCTAGGGCTCAGAGAAAAACTAAAAGCATATAATCATCCAATCTCACAG